CAATGGTGCAATTTCCCTGTAGTAGTTTGTGTCTGCCCCCTCCCACAATGGGGAAATTTCCCTGCAGTGGTTGTCTCTGCCCCTCCCATAATGGTGAGATTTCCTGCAGTAGTTTGTGTCTTCACCCCTCCTACAATAGTGAGGTATCCGGGCAGTTTGTCACACCGCTCCCACAATGGTGAGATTTTCTCCAGTAGTTTGTGTCTCTGCCCCTCCCACAATGGTGAGATTTCCTCCAGTAGTTTGTGTCTCTGCCCCTCCCACAATGGGAGATTCCCCCCAGTAGTTTGTCTCTGCCCTCCCACAATGGTGGGATTCCTCTGCAGTAGTTTGTGTCTTTGCCCCTCCCACAATGGTGAGATTCCCCCCAGTAGTTTGTGTCTCTGCCCCTCCCACAATTGAGAGGTTTCCCAGCAGTAAGGCCAGCCATAGATGAAATTTGGCTGGTTCAGCAGGAACCGGCCAAATTTCGATCCATCTATGGACAGGCTGGCTGTATCCATCCATCCATCCATCGATCGACTTTGGTACCACGAGCTTGTTGGATTTTTTTTTACTTGTGCAATCACTGCCGGGAGTGATCATTGTATTGACAGTTGGGAAACCTCCTGCTGTCAGAATACAATAGCTCTACAGGAGGGATTCCCCTCATTACCACAGACAGTGTTGATGAGGGAATCAACCAATTTTCTTTCCTTCAACCTGTGATTGAAAAAAATAAATACAATTGTATAATGTAGGGCTTGCTTAATTCTCCACCTTAATTGGAATTGTTTCCCTGCAATGGTGGGCTTCACCCCCAGTAGTTTGTGTCTGCCCCTCTCACAGTCCCCTTCCCTAGGAGGTAATCCAGTAGGGATGCAACACAGCCATCATTCTGCTCTGACGGTTGAATTGGTAAATCTGATGGGGAGATCTCAACAGTCAAGTCTTCAAGAACCATAATAATCAGCATTTGATTCCTCTTGCAGAATAGATTTAGGGTGGAGTGGCCTGAAGCTCAATGTGTATTTCTATGGTGACTTCTTGGTCCCCACAATGTGTGTTATGAAATGCTGCAGACTGGCGCAGTGTCACCTCGGCGTCCACTAAGTTATAAATATCTTCTGCTAATTTGCAGCGAAGGGAAGACGAGACGGTCCCAGAGAAGTCATTACATCTTCTAATCTATATCCCAATTAAAAATGCATTGATGGTTAGTGCTGGTACTGACTGCACACATCATTATCTGTAGGAGGCCTGTGCGTGCCGGCGCGGATAAACAGGCGCTACCTCACTGGTGGAACAACGTGTCCCTTGCATTCTTCACCACTGCTTTCGTAATGATGTGCTATAGACTATTCACTTTTATTTCTAGAATCTATTCCATCTGATACAAAATTCTTTCAATGATCAAAAAAAATGGTCCCTATAATGAAATTCTCTGCAAGAAAGCTTTGGGTAGTCATGCGTTCCCTTGGCGCATGCTTGGAGCGGAGAGCCCTGGCTGTGATGAGGACATTGGGTTTATGTGTACCTTGTTATTCATTTCCTCCGGCTACCCAGCACGTATACATGGAGTAAACAAACCCCATTTCTAGTGGTGTCCCAACACTCCTCTAAAGAGTAAGCAAACCCCATTTCCATCTGCACACCAACACTCATGCATAGAGTAAGTAAACTTGCTTTCCAGTAGCATCCTAACACTCATACATTAAGTAAACAAACCCCATTTCTAGTGATGTCCCAACACCCGTACATGAAGTAAACAAACTCTGTTATCAGTTGTGTCTCAACACACATGAAGTAAACACCTCAAGTTCGAGTGGTGTCCCAACATTCATACATGGAGTAAGAAAACCCCATTTCCAATGGCACCCCCAACATTCATACATGACAACCCCATTTGCAGTGGTGTCCCAAAACTCGCATGGAGTAAAAACCGTTTCCAGTGCCACCCCAACACTCATACATGGAGTAAGAAAACCCCATTTCCAATGGCACCCCCAACATTCATACATGACAACCCCATTTGCAGTGGTGTCCCAAAACTCGCATGGAGTAAAACCGTTTCCAGTGCCACCCCAACACTCATACATGGAGTAAGAAAACCCCATTTCCAATGGCACCCCCAACATTCATACATGACAACCCCATTTGCAGTGGTGTCCCAAAACTAGCATGGAGTAAACAAACCCTGTTTTCAGTGCCACCCCAACACTCATACCCAGAGTAAAGGCGGCCATAGATTTCTGATTTTCTTGCCGAATTATCGGCTGATAAAAAAAAAAATCCGTTAGTGGGGAAAAATGTTGACCGTTTTTCTTAATTTTAAGAGGTTTTGAAAATCGTCCAAGGTGAAAAATCCTAGGACGATTTGTTAGATCGGCCGATTTTCGCAGTAATTTATGGTCACATCGGCCGTTCTTCTGGCCGATTTGACAATAAATTGACTGAAGAAAAAGAAGAAATAGATTTTGCAGAAGTGGAAATAGAATATCAAGAAGAAAAGAGAGGAGAAGATGAAATAGATTTTGCAGAAGAAGACGGAGAAGAAAAAAGTTGCAACATTGTATCTATTTGTATGCATTTCGGATACAGATGTTTCTATTCAAGTACAAATAGATACAATGTTGTTTCTCTTCTTCTTCTGCATAATCTATTTCTTCTGTCAAATATAATAGCGGGTCTCTAGGCAGGGACACCGCTATTATATTAATTGACGGCCGTAGACGGGACTAAAACCTGCCGAATTTTCTTTTTAATTAGTGGCAATGTGGGCCGTCTAAACGACCGATTTACGACTTTAAAAAAAAAATAAATTTAAAAAAATGGCCAATTGTCCCCACATCTATGGCCTGCTTAAGTAAACCTCATGTCCAGTGCCGTTCCAACACTCATACATGGAGTAAAAAAACCCCATTTCTAGTGGTGTCCTAACACTCATCTAAAGAGTAAGGAATCCCCATTTCCATCTGCACACCAACACTCATGCAGAGTAAGTGAACTTGCTTTCCAGTGGCATCCTAACACATACATGGACACAATTCCATTTCCAGTGGTGTTCCAACATTCGTACATGGAGAAAACACCCCATTTCCAGTGGTATTCCAACACTTATACATTAAGTGAACAAACCCCATTTCTAGTGACATCCCAAAACCCACACATGGAATAAACAAACTCTATTTCCAGTTGCATCTCAACACTCACACATGGAGTAAAGACCCCAATTTCGAGAGGTGTCTCAACACTCACACATGGAGTAAAGACCCCAATTTCGAGAGGTGTCCAACACTCACACATGGAGTAAAGACCCCAATTTCGAGAGGTGTCCCAACACTCACACATGGAGTAAAGACCCCAATTTCGAGAGGTGTCCCAACACTCACACATGGAGTAAAGACCCCAATTTCGAGAGAGGTCCCAACACTCATACATGGAGTAAGCAAACCCCATTTCCAATGGCACTCCAAGATTCATATATGATGTAACCCCATTTGCAGTGGTGTCCCAAAACTCACATGGGGTGTCACTGGAAACGGTTTGTTTACTCCAACACTCTAATGTAAATAAGGGTAATTGCGAGCACAACACACATATACGCAGCCAGCATATAAAAGGTAAACCTCGACACCTCTAAAGAAACAGTATATGATAATAAATAGGCAGCGCTAGGTTATAATACACAGTAGATAATAAATATAAAGTGAGCGCTACTGAGGCGCGTATATGGTGATGTGATAAGTATGTCTTATGATGATGCTTCAATATGAAAAAGACATAAAATTATGTGACAGATGTGGATAGTTCATTAAAAACTGTAACGTAGGTCCAGAAGTAACGGTGCTCTGTGCTGGTAACTTTAAATGACGAGGACCAGTAAAATTATGCACTTACCAGCAGCGCATAACAAATGCACATGAAAAAGATGTATTCTTTAGGGGGTCATCTAGGTCTGGTCTAGGGCTGCGGGGTCATCAAGCTCAATGTGGACACATAGGATGATACTGCTCACACACAGGTCACACTCCGCTCGCATACACATCAGAAACAGCTTCAAGATAACAGCAAACACGGAAGTTCCAGATCCAGAAAGGATTCCATCTTTGGGGGGGATGATGACAAAGTAAAAAGGATGTTTTCAGCTTAGAGCCACTTCCGATAAAATGTATATTTATTCTATTTTAATGGACTTGGGGAAGCCATGATTTTTCTGTATCCACTCTGATGTAAAACAGGACTGCAACTCTCCAATCATCCCAGATCAGGCACTTGTTCTGATCTCACTGGCTACCACTGGATCCAGGACAACCTCTCCTGAGAAGAACCTGTGTGTTCTGAGATCCGTTGATGAAGGTACAAAGGAGAACTAGTGAAGAAAGTCCAGCATCCTCTGCACAATGCTTACTCCAACACTCATTCACCGAGTAAGTAAACCCCATGTCCAGTGCCCTCCCAACACTCATACATGGAGTAAAAAAAATCCCCCCCCCTCTGCACATTGTACAACATTTTGGAAAAATAGGTTTTAGCTGTGCATGGACCTTGAAATCTCTGAGCTGACATTGCTTACCACAAAGGGCAGTTACCTGAAGATAACCATCTTGATCAACCCCCTTGCCTGGCTTCAGGTACTGCTGCTCGTGGAACTGATTGGGCTATGGCATTGAGATGGAATTCTAACCAAAACCTTGTTTTAATTTTGGATACAAGCCTGTGGCCCCATTTGGGACATTCTCTATTCCTGTGCGGTCACTGGAACTGAAAATAAAGGTTAATCTTCCCCACTGGTAACACAGCAGGACAAACCTGATTGAGATTTATCTCCTTCCCTAGTCTTCATAAAAGCCCACAAATCTGGTCAGGGTCACATGACCCAAAATGGTGGCTCCAGCAGTGAGACACCATGGTGTTGTTTATCGGGAGCAGGTGGGGATTGATGGAATCTGCTCGTGTTTTAGCATCCTTTCTTAAGCTTTTTACCCCCAGCGAACCCCTGCTAAATGCAGTTCAATCCAATGCTCCTTATAGTGGTGGCCAGTGGGAAAAAATTCTCCTTACATTAATGGTCAGTGGAAAGAATGTCCCTTACATCGGTGGTCAGTAGGTAAAGTGTTCCTTGCTATGGTGGCCAGCAGGAAAAATTCTTACATTGGTCATCAGGAAAGGATGCCCCTTACATTGGTGGTCAGTAGGAAGAATGCTACTACATTGGTGGTCAGTGGGAAGAATGCTACTACATTGGTGGTCAGTGGGAAGAATGTCCCTTACATTGGTGATCAGTGGGAAGAATGCGTCTTACATTGGGGATCAGTGGGAAGAATGCCCCTTACATTGGGGATCAGTGGGAAGAATGCCCCTTACATTGGGGATCAGTGGGAAGAATGCCCCTTACTTTGGGGGGGTCCCCTTAGTCAGGGGAAGAATGCCCCTTACTTTGGGGGGTCAGTGGGAAGAATGCCCCTTACTTTGGGGGGGGTCAGTGGGAAGAATGCCAATTACATTGGTGGTCATTGGGAAGAAAGCCCCTTACTTTGGGGGTCTGGGACAAATGCTCCTTACAATGGCGGTCATTGGGAAGAATGCCCCTTACATTGGTGCTCAGTTGGAAGATTGCTTCTTACTTTGGGGGTCAGTGGGATGAATGCCCGCCTTACAGACAGCTAAAAAGATCATTGGTGTTGTGCAGTTGGCTCTGCCAAGCAGTGTTGACCCCAAAAAACTATCCAGGTGCCACCAAATGGTCAGGTCAGGCAGCCACATCTCAAGGAACCCTCAACTTATTGAGAGACCCTGGTAGACAATTGCTCCCTACTGTATAGTCACTTGTACCTACAGGCTATGTGGGGGGGGGGGAGGCACACTGAAGAAACAGACAGTGGGGTCTTCATATAAAGGTTAGCTCGGCACAGCTGATTGGTTGGCAGCTCCTTGGTCTAGGCAAGGTGTATTGTTAATGGCGAGAATTGCGCTTTTATCTACAGCCAGATCTTCCACAGAGGTGATTTAAATTAATATGGACAACCTTTGGGACAGTTTGGATTTGTTTTTGCGGAAATAAAGCTGCAAAGAGTCTAGTGACCTCAATTCTGCCGACTTCTTAGTGTCACTTTTTGGCATGAAATACCACGAAGGCTAATTCTTAGCCTGCAACGTGCCGCAGAGAGGGCCTGCATGTGCCAGGTATTGGATGGCCGTCCAGCGTCGGTTGGTTGTCCTTAGAAACCAAAAACATTTTCAACCATGCGCAAATCATGCAAGGCCAGCTTCTGCTCGTTGTCAGGGAAACTGGAGGCGAAGGGGCAGTGTGTGGAATAATAATGGCATCTCCCTCTTCGTCCAGCACCAGAAAAGGATTTGTTAATGTTAGAAGAGGCTGAAAGTGCACAAACAGCGTCATCCCCATCCTCCCACCGCCCCGCACATTATCCAGAGCCATCCGCTGAATTCTTTCCATTTGCTGTGTTATCTCTGACCCAGAGTCTCCTGCAAACAATACAGCTTAACCTCCCAAAACAAACCATGGCCAGATCTATTGTGAAGCGCTGACATCACTGCCGGCCGCCTGCGACAAGGTCATCAGAATCCCTTATCCGGCCGCTGAGCGATAACACTGCTGGGACATGGAAATAAGAGAAAATGCTGCAGATGGTTTGGCTGCCAGAAGCAACCGATGAGAATGTCGTTAATTTAGCAGCTCGTGCATGCAACGTGCAGCCATTTACTTTGACTGAAAGACACTGAAGTCACACACAGCCAGGCCTCTAGCATTTTCAGAACTAGGCCTGCTTATCCCATGACTGAGTCACTCTAATCACTTCAGTCTGCTCTGAACTAATGTGGTCTGACCTCACTTATGACACATTTCCATAATGGTACAACATACCAACCAATTGGAACACAACCGTCGTCGTTCTGAAAAATTTTCGGTAATGGGAGGTGAAACCTGATTGGCTGCTTTTGGGATAACGCGCTTAATTTATATCTTCTTTGCTCTTAGCTGTTCACGGTAAATCACGGTAAATAATCCCCTAGTACACAATATAATATATTCCAACACAAAGTCCACAAGGACATAATACTGCATACCCTCATCTGGGCCTAGGTGTACAGGATGGACAGACTACAGAGCTGACACTCCAGATCCTCCCGGGAATCAGACATCAACACTGGCATCATAATTTTGCCTGGCAGGAAAAGGAGACTCCTGAAAATTCCCAGACAATTCCAGAACCTGCCCTGACCTGTCGGGACTGTCTGAGTACTCAGCTCCCAGGTGTCCCTGTTCCCTCCAACACTGTCACTGCTTCCTATACATCCGCCCCTTAATCTCCCACCACCGTCCCGTCCTCCCAGATCTGTCCCCCAGCTCTGTTCTACGTCCATGCCTCTATACTTCAGCTCTATCCTGTGTCCTCCTGGCTCTGGTCCTTTGTCCTCTATATCTCTTCCTATATTTTTCAGCTTTTATCCCAGTTTCCTCCCAAGTATTTCCCCCCCTTCCTGTGAAGAGAAATAGTCTTATGTCCCTGTGTCCTCCTGGCTCTCGACTTGTAGGTCAGACAAATAAGTAACATAACAGTTATGTGTCTTTTTGCTGTGCTCACAGCATTATCAGTTTTATTCCCCAGCTCTGTGTCCCTGTATCCTCCATTCTTAGGCTGGCTCTGTCTCCAAAATGTGTTTCCTCTGCAGGTATTTCCATTGTATTTTTGTCCCGGACTGCATCACTCCCATGGTTACTGCCCCTTGTGTCCCTGTACCTGCAGGCAAAACAGCCCCAAAGCATATATTTCCTAGCTCTGCCCTGTGTCCTCCTGGCATGGGTCCATCCCACAGTCCCCACAACTCCCAGGTTTTGGCATCTGCCCTCTAGCTTATTCTTTGGAGACAGCAAGGGGGTCCTCTGTTATCCTCTTATTGGCTTTCTCCCATGACCTCCTGGCTTTGTCCCTCTGTCTTCCCAGGTATTTCCCCTATATCTGTCCCTGCATCCTCCTGGTTCTGCCCCTGTGTCCTCCTGGCTCTGTCTCTGTGTCCTCCAGGTATTTCCTATAGTTTTGTCCCTGCATCCTCCTGGTTCTGCCCCTGTGTCCTCCTGGCTTTGTCCCTCTATCCTCCCAGGTATTCCCCTCTATCTGTCCCTGTGTCCTGCTGGTTATGTCCTCATGTTCTCCTGGCTCTGTCCTGTATCTTCCCAGGTAATTCCCTAGCTCTGTACCTGTATTGTTCAGGCTGTGTTCTTGTGTCCACCCAGGTATTTGCCCTAGCTCTGTCCCTGTGTCCTCCTGGCTTTGTCCCTCTGTCTTCCAAGGTATTTCCCCTATATCTGTCCCTGTGTCCTGGCTTTGTCCCTCAGTCCTCCCAGGTGCTTCCCTTATATATGTCCCTGTGTCCTCCTGGCTTTGTCCCTCTGTCTTCCCAATTATTTCCTCTATATCTGTCCCTGTGTCCACCTGGCTTTGTCCCTCAGTCTTCCAAGGTATTTCCCCTATATCTGTTCCTGTGTCCTGGCTTTGTCCCTCAGTCCTCCCAGGTGCTTCCCCTATATATGTCCCTGTGTCCTCCTGGCTTTGTCCCTCTGTCTTCCCAGGTATTTTCCTATATCTGTCCCTATGTACTCCTTGCTCTGCCCCTGTGTTCCCCTGGCTTTGTTGAACTGTCTTTCCAATTTTATCAACTGCATCTGTGTGTCTGTCCTTCAGCCCTGCCCCTCTGTTTTTCTGGCTCTGTCCTAGAGCTCTGTCCCTTTTTCCTCTTGGTTCTGTCCCTTTCCCTTGCTAGCTTTATACCCAAGCTCTGTTGGACTGTCTTCTGACTTCTGTCTCTGTGTCATCTACATCTCTGCGTCTATCCTTCAGCTGTTTCCCTCTGTCCTTCCAGCTCTGTCCCTGAGCTCTTTCTTTCCCCCAGGTTCTGTCCCTCTTATTTCCCGGCTCTGTCCTACAGGCTCTGTCCCTCTGTCCTTCTAGCTTAGTCCTCCTGGTTCTGCCCTCCAGCTCCAGAGTTGTCCCTCTGTCCTTCAAGGTGTGTTCTCCATATCTGTCCCTCTGTCTTCCAACTCTGTCCATGCATCCTTCAGGCTCTGTCCATGTTTCCTTCCAGTTCTGTCTCTCTGTCCTCGTGGCTCTGTCTTCCTATCTCTGTGCCTCACCTCTATCTTGCTCTTCTGACTCTTTCCCTCTGTCCATCTATCTCACTCCACCTGATTCTGTCCTCTAATTCTTAAGACTTGTCCCTCTGTCCTCCAAAGTGTGTTGTCTATATCTGACCCTTTGTCTTCCAACTCTGTCCATGTGTCTTCCCAGCTCTGTCCCTCTTTTCAAAGCTATCTCCAGCTATGCGCTCCCACGTCTGTCCTCTAGCTCTGTCCCTATGTCTCCTACACACCTTGGAGGACAGAGAGACAACTCAAAGAGACAGACCTAGAAGACAGAATCAGGTGGACTGAGCTAGGAGGACATAGTCAGGATAAGAGCAGGATACAGTGGGGGGACATAGCTGGGAGGACAGAGATAGAAATGGAGGGAAAGAGGGACAGAGCCTGAAAAACATAGGGACAGAGTCTCCAGACATGTGCTCCCACTTCTGTCTTCTATCTCTGTCCCCATGTCCTTCATCCTCTGTCCCTCCTTCCTTACAGTTCTCCCTCTGTTCTGGCTCTGTCCATCTTTATCCTGCTCTTCTCCTGACTCTGTCACTCTGTCCTCCAAGGCATGTTCTTCATATCTGTCCCTCTGTCTTTCAACTCTATCCATGTGTCATCACGGAACTGTACTACTTTCCACTAGCTCTCTCCAGCTTTGCATTCCCACCTGTGTCCTCCAGCTTTGTCTCTGTGTCCTTCAGGCTCTGTCCCTCCTTCCGTCTAGTTCTGTCTCTATCCTCCTAGCTCAGTTCTCCTGATTTTGTCCTCTAGCTCTGTCCCTATGTTCTTCACGTTTTGCCCTCTTTGTTCCAGTTATGTCTCTGTTTTTCTGTCTCTGTCCTCCACCTTTATCCTGCTCTTCTCCTGACTCTGTCCTAGCTCAGTCCTGATTCTGTCCTCTACCACTGTAGTTTTCCCTCAGTCCTCAAAGGTGCATGCTCCATATCTGTCCCTTTTTGTCTTCCAACTCTGTGTCCTCCCAGCTCTATCTCTTCATAGCTAGCTCCAGCTTTGAATTCCACCTGTGTCCTCTATCTCTGTCCCTATGTCCTTCAGGTTCTGTCCCTGTGTGCTGTCATCTCAGTCCTTTTGTCCTCCCAGTCCTTCAGCAATTTGTTGTCACTAGTCAGAATTCATCTTGCGTTAGCATATTGAAATTTAGTATCTATGAGTTATTGCACTTTGTTCTTAATCCAATTATCCCCCTCTTCCACCAGGATGCATCATTGGTCAGCCAGGCAGCTGCTTATGTGATCTGAGGGGGGGGGGGGGGGGGGGGGGGGGGGGGGGGGGGGGGGGGATCCTGGGAATTATCACCTCTTATGATCCTTTGGCTCTGTCTGCTGCCACATGGGATCAGGATGGAATTTACATGTTTTGGATTGGGACCAGAATGCCACTTCTCCTAATCTCTGGAAAATGAAGCTGAAGGACAGGGACAACTGCTGCTGGTGTTCTCCCAGAAAGAGGTGTTATCCCTCCTCTCTGAGGAACGTTCAGGGCTAAATTTCATCTCTGA